CCCCCCCCCCCCCCCCCAACCACCCCTCCATCGACTTGCTTCGACTATGTCGGCATCTTTATTTCAACTACTTCGGCAACTATCCCCGCAACTTTTCCGCGATCCACAGATCAACTATTTTGCAGGAATGGAGTTATTTTCCGGCAACCCCCGCTGTGGCCGCCCGGCCGGTCACAAGCCTACTTACCCCAGCCAAGACAGAAAAACACAGATACCGGCCCTTAAGCTCACTTTTCTCACCGATCTCAGCGATCTGTGTCTTTCATGTACTGGCATGTTTGCTGCTCTTGTTTTTGAAGATGCCGCTCTTCTTGCTTCACTTCTGTTGTTGCTGAAACTCTTGCTATCAACATGACCACCATTATCCACCATTGCTAATTACGACTCCCATGACCGCTAGTTACGGCTCTTATGACCACTGTGACTATTCAGTGCCTGCTTTTTTCTATCAAGGTTACCACTGCTGGCATCGATGCCCTTGCTGGTGCTAGTGACTGCTAGTGCGATTTCTGCGGTCAAGCCGCATTTGCGTTATTGCTGACTGTCATTACATCATCCCTAGTACTGTGATGAGCATGGCTGCTGCAGCATGCCTTCTCCCCTCATTGTGATGATATCACCACGATTACGACTACTTCCAGTGGTTCGATCATCACTAGTTGGTGTGATCACTGAACTGAATTCCGGCCATCATCGCTGCGACCGCCGTGAATACAGCACTTCTACTTCCGAGGAAGAGTCCTTGGCTCCTTGAGAGTCCAACCTCTGGACACATCGAAACGACTGTGCCATCCGAAACACTCAGTTCTGCCCAGAACCCAAATGAAGCGGCACTGACGCTCATTTCTATGGATCATGCCTGGTGAAGATGACGAGGGGGATGACTCTGATGACTGCCCTACATGAAGTTGATGATGCTGACTTTAGGAGGGTGGTGACAAATCTTTTGACAATGCTGACAAGTGACAAGTCTTCTACCGTCTTGAGTCTAACGAAACCGAGTTGTGCATGTCCGGGGCCTCCTTGAGGTAGGAGCCAGAGCAACTTCAGCCATCCCATGATGTTGAGCGCAGCGCGCCCGCATCCGCATTGGCACCGACAGCTCCCTTCACTGATCACATAGTTTTCTGCCTGGCAACCCTACATGGCGGGACCTGTAGAAACAAGATGAACTTCTTCCTGTCACTCCTGCATTCGCACTGGTGGGCTTTCCTCCTTACTAGTGCGGCTGGCGCCTCTGTGATGACTAATTCTATGGCCAGGCTGTCGCCCGCATCTCTCATGCCACTGCTCAAGCGTTGGATTGCTTCGGTGCAAAATGCGTGTTCCTCTGAGTTCTCTGACTAGGTGTACATAGTATCCACTGGGTTCTTGCTAAGTCACACGGTGTCACAGACTTGTCAGAATAGCGAAGCCGTGGAGAGGCTGTTGGAACTCTCTGTGGCTCATGGCTTCCTTCTGAAAATCTTCGCAGCAACACGCATGACGCAGCTCTTGCTTCGTCTCCAACGGAAAGCTCACCGAGTGCACTGCAGGGCTGGGCTCTAAGTGAGCTCGGGCTTTTCGATGGCCGAGAACTGCTCATCTCTGAAAATCGGAGCTTTCTGGGGCCAGCGACTCTGTAGGCTTCAATTCTGTGAAATCTCGGTTTGTGTCCGTTCCAGGCGGCGCAAGTGCGTCGTCTTTTCAGTGAAGCTGGCAAGATGGCGCACGGAGACGCGAAACGTCCCTTGCATCGAGATCAATCTCGGCACAGGGACAAGAAGCCATTAAGCTTCAGGTCAACCGCATAGCTTGAAACAACATACCGTCATTCTACCAACCATTCTACAACCCTTCAATGGCATGTTGGCATGCCAGGCACGGAAACCTGAATTGAATCAATAGGTGAAGCTTTGTGCAAAGCATCGGACAATCCTGCAGGACAATTCACATCGGAGAAGTCTCGCGCGCTGTTCACTTACCTGGGCAGTCGGCATTCGTCAGAGCCATCGTCTATCATTCGGAAAAATTAGCTGGTTCGGAAAAAAGCACATAGTAGAGAGCTATCAACATGTCTGCACTTGTCCAGCACCCCAACCTCTGAACCCTAAACCTTGATCCTTTGCTGCACGATGCCCCACCCATCCACCCCTTCTGGACCGCTCTGCACTGCTGTCGTGCAACCAGCCATCGTCATCATCAACCTTAGCCTTTTTCAGCTTCTTGACCTGGTCGGTGTACTTATGGGCCTAAGGTTCAGGGCTCAAGGTTTCGGTTTAGGCTTTAAGTCCAGGGTTCAGGATCGGGTAACAGTTCGCGACGGAGCATCAAGCTTGGGCTACGTGTCTGAACATGCAAAACCTGGGCAATGGGTCTGTCTTGAACCTTGCAAAAAATCTCGAGTTGAAACGGCTCTTGCTCACAATGCCTCAGTCCGAAGCCAGTCGCCAGCTTAAACGGAATCTTTCAAGAGCTCCAGCTACTCACTCTCAAGCCCTCTCCCTCTCGCTCTCACTCTCTATCTCTCTTGCTCTCTCCGTCTCTCCTGCTGTCTGTGTACACACACATACATACATGTGTGGGTATGTATGTAGGCACGCATATATATATACACACACACCTAAACACATATACATACATATACACAGGCATATACATATCTATATACATAACCATTTACACACCCATGTACATATACATGTGTACGTATGTACACATCATATGTACATATATATACACACATACGCATGCGTATGCATATAGATATGCCTACATTCGTATTTCTGTATATATGTATGCAAGGAGATGTGCGGGTGTACCAATTTACGTATGTATGTATGTTTGCTTGCTTGCACGTATGTATCTGCGGATTATGAATGCACCCATGCACACATGCATGCATGTACACTCACACATGCGCACGTATCTACGCATGTATGTCTGAAAGTAGGCATCTATGCATGCACGTATGTCTGTACGTAAGTATGTACGCGCGCACTTGTGTTATTAAGCTTTTGTACGTACGTAGGTATGTCTGCATGTATGTGTGGGTGCATGCATGGTTGTATGTATGTAGGTAAGTACGTATGTATGTACAACTAAATGCATGCATATACGTACGTTCGTATGTAAGCATGTCTGTCTGTTTGTCTGTGTGTCTGCCTGCATGCATGCATGTATTTGTATGTGTTGTATGTCTTGTATGTACGTACATCTGTATGTATGTAGTCATGTATTTGCGTGCATGTACCTGTGCGCGTTTCTATGTATGTATGTATGTATGTATGTATGTATGTATATATATATATAGGTGTGTATATATATATATAGAAGTGTATATATATATATAGATATAGGTTTTCTATATATATATATATATGTGTGCGTGTATATATATATATGCGGTGTGTATATGTGTGTATGTGCATGTTCTCTGTATATGTATATGTGTTCATACGCGGAACAAACAAAAACCGAAGCAATGCTGTGGCGCCTCTTCCTCGCTGATGCCTTGCGCCTTCTTCATGCTCTCCAGGAGCTCCTGGCATTGTGTTGCGCTCAGAAGGACATGGAGGTTTCAGGGTTCAGGGTTAGGTTTTGGGGTTTGCGATTTACGGCCCAGGTTGAGGGATCATCGGCACAAGCTTTTCTTAACTTGTCAACCTTGATGGAGTGACGGATTGTTTAAAGCAGGTCAGAGCATGGACACATGAACATGTAGCTACAGCTACTGCCATAAACGCATAACAACAAAATCGTACACATGAAAAAACTGTGTGAGCCGTACTGCACGCCATGTCAAGCGTGACAGTGGTGGAGTCGTCGTAGCAAGTCGGCGTCACATGGTAGAAGAAGATGGTGCTGACGACGGCGATGGCGATGGTGATGGTGATTATGATGATTGCGATGGTGATGATGATGATGATGATGATGATGGTGACGAAAATTACGACAGCGATGATGATTCTGACTATGCTGAACGCGAAGATGACCGGTGAAACCCAAATATTTCCAAAACACTGTCGCCAACATTTGGACATGATTCAAGGCCCGCAACGTGAGCCGGGATGACAGAACGCCCGTCGGATTCATCGTCCTCGACATCCTCCATACCTGCTGGTTACGGCATCGGGCTCATCATTTCCACAACTAACAGGTGAAGGCATAGGGCTGCCCCGACCAGAATCTGCCAAGGATATCCAGGCGGCCATCATATCTTCCAAACTGACCATCGTGTGTAGGTGAATGCAGCTGAAGCTTCTGAGCTCGGAAGAGTAGTGCAAGTCACAGTATGGCGTAACTGCCGTCCCGTTTAATCGCGGACTCGCGAAGCTCAACTGTCTCGAATTTCCTACACGAGCTGTCCGGGATCTCTTCACTTTCCGCGGTCAGATGCAGAATGGCCTGCATCCGCTGACAGCTGTGCCTTCAGGCCCTCGCTAACGTTGCCTCGCTCCTGGCAGAGAGCACAAACCGCGAAAAAGAACACGCCGCCATTAGCCACCCGCCCAAGCAGATGCATCTGCTGCATCCAGTCAAAGCACTTCTAGAGTTTAGACTCACTCACACGGCAGCAACGGCAACAGCAAGAATCACGGAGGGAAAGGAGGATGACCACAAAGACGATCACAACGACGCGCGGCGGTAGCAGTAGTCCTGGGAAGCGGTTCCAGCAACTTCGATAGCCCTGGCCAAGGCAACGCCCACTGCCAGGCCTGGCCAAGTCGCGTCTCTCCAGAAAGCCTAGCTTGGAATTCCAAAGTAATCCACTGGTTTGCCGTTTAGGGTTGGGGTTTGGGGTGCTCCTACTTGATGCTGAGGGCCACTGTCTCCAGTCGCTGCAGAAACGAAAATGTGCGCGAGGTCGCTTCTGAGTCCTGGAATTCCCTTCAAATCTACATCTGCTGAGGTACGCAATGTGCTCTCGGCAGCACTCTGCCGTCGCACTGAAATGACAACTGCAGATTTCCTAACAAACAAGTCCAATGGACATGGCCCGAACATACACAAATCCTGAAACAGACACTTGGATGATTGGAAGCAAGGAGAACTGAAGGAGACTGCCTCCTACAATCGCGAGCAGCGTTGGGATCGCAATAGGATTCTCCACCACCTCTCCATCACCTCCTGGCTGGCTGGAGCAGCGAGACTGCAGCAATTCACTGTGGGCTGAAGGCCTTTGGGAGGGTACCTGGCAATGCCGCCTTGGAATGATTTGCGATGTTTGTTCACATGGAAAATGGTAACGATGATGATGCCGATGACGATGACGGTGATGGTCGTGGTGCTGATGATGATGCTGTTGCTGATGAGACGATGACGATGTCCATGAGCTGAGGGCGATGAGGATGATGGTGGTGGTGATGATGACGATGACAATGTTAATGACGATGATCATGATGATGATGATGGTGATGTTGGTGATGGTGGTGCTGATGGAGATGCCGAGGGCGAGGGCGAGCAGCAGGATGAGGATGAGGGTGAGGATGAGGACGAGGATGAGGAAACTGCTGATGATTATGATGATGATGATGGTGATGATGGTGATGATGATGATGATGATAATGATGATAATGACGAGTGCAAGGAGGAGGAGGAGGAGGATGAAGATGAGGATGATGATGATGATAATGATGACCATGATCATGACGGCGGTGATGATGATGATGCCGAGGGTGAGGAGGGGGAGGAGGAGGAGGAGGACAAAGATGAGCATGACGACGATGATGATGATGACTCGGAAGTGAAGCTCCAGCATCGCTGATGTTGGATTTTTTCGTGGTGGCCGTGACACACACTGTGGTCCTGATGGCGGTGGCACAACGACTGCGGCTACTGCTGCGTGCTGCTCCTACGCGTCTTCGTGACTCCGTCGTAGTAGCAGTAGTAGTAGTAGTAGTAGTAGTAGCAGCTGTAACCATGGAAGAAGAAGGGTAGTAGCAGCAGTAGCAGCAGCAGCAGTAGCAGGTGGTGGTGGTGGTGGTGGTAGTAGTAGTAGTAGCAGCAGCAGCAGCAATTAGTAGTAGTAGCAGCAGCAGCAGCTGCAGCACCACCACCACCAACAAGCACAACAACAACGGCAGCAACATCAGCGACAGCAACAGCAACAGCAACCGCAGCAACAATTACAAAAAACAGTAGTTCTGAAACCACCAACCTACATTCTACATGACAAGCACTGCGCACAACTAGTCACACCACCGGCACCAGCACCACCGCTCTGACCATGCAAGAACCCAAGAGAGCGTGCGACTTGTTTAAGTTTAAGGCCCGCGCGGGCCACCATCGGCTCTCGGGCTTCCATGGCGCCCCCTTTCATCTCCGTTGGGCTCTGCTTCTCTTTGGGGGCTCCGAGTTTAGAGTTCCGGATTTGTGGTTGGAGTTCGGAGCTGTAGCCGTGGTGCTTCTGAATTCCCTACAAGACTATGCTGCTGTACAAGATTCTCTGAGTGCATCCGCAGGCTACCGCAACGCAGGAGTGTCCTCTTCGCATTGTTGCCAACACGCATAGTTCTTGTCGGTTCTTGTCGCCATGAGCCCGTTCACCACTGGTCACTGCGACACGAAGAACACGAAGAAGTGTAAGAACAACGGCAGAACTATCAAAAGCACTAGAAAGGATACGAATACCAAAGTAACTACGACAGTGGTACGGAAAACAATCCTGCAAATGCAATTAAAAGGAATTCTGAGACTACTGGTCAGACCGCCAGGTCTCGACGCCTGAGACGAATCTGCCGTTGACAGGCGCCGAGCGGGGTGACAGCTGCGGCCTCCAATGGAAAACCATCACACTGTGGGGTTCAGGGTTTGGGGCTTATAGGGCTTAGGGTTAGGCTTGCTAGGTGGGCTGTGTGCGCACGACGATGATACAGGTCCCAACCAGACCAAGCAGCTTCAGCATGCAAGAGTTCTGCCTGGAGACGGAGAGGAAATCCAGCTGTCTGTGCGCCAAGACCTCAGGCTTCCAAGCTTCAACGAGCAACAACTTCACTACCTGTGCTCGGGGAGCAGCGACAAAGAAGAAAGCCACAACGGGCAGTGCGCTCAAGTCCCAGAATTCCTTGGCTGCCGGGCCAGGAGGGTGGAGGCCAAGAGGAGGAGGCACCCTCCATGCCGGCGACCTCCAGAGTGAGCTCAGTTACATGGGAGCTGCTCATCTTCCGGGAGGCTTCGATGAATATTGGATTTAGGGAGACGTTCACCCGAACTAAGGAAGGCAGTGAATCCAAGAGTTAAAAGAAATTAACTTTGAAGTTTATTGCCCGGCATCGGACCTGTCTTGGACCCCCTAGTTCCATTACAATTTACTTATGATTTAATTGGCCCGTGAACGTTGCGCGACGCACCATTCCATGCAGAGACGACACAATTAGATCAGGATTTAATTGCTTTCTCCTACACTACCCTCAACCCGGACCAAAATTAAACCAAGATTTAATGGGTATGAATCAATGGCCAAGCCTGAACACGGGTCAGATCGAGAAACAACTAAACCACTAGGACACCCAGGAAAATAGAGACAACCAGATAACTAAAGTATACCTAAGCTGGAATGTTGAGGGCAGTGCTTCCCTCAGTTGCAGCAGACAACAACATGAGTAGTGAACCCTCGTCGTCTTTCCTCGTCGTCGTCGTTCATCGTGGACTGTGGACCGTACAGACTCTAGACTATAGACAAGCAGACCACAGTAGACTAGACTAGACTAGACTAGGCTAGACTAAGCCAAAGCAGACTAGACTCAGCGAGACGAACCGAATCGATCAACAGATCGTCAATACATGTTTGGACATTCCCACAATTAAGCCACGATTTAATTGTTCTCTCAATCTTTCAAAGCTGTTCTTATATGGCTCCGAAGATTCCCAATTAGATGCTGATATAAATGTTTGCCTGGAAAGTCCGAAGGCGAATTCGCCGTAAGTTAGCCGTAAGTGAGTAGAACAGTACAACCTAGTTCAACAATCAACATAATCTTCAATTACAACTGATGCCGAAGAAAACAACCACCGAATGGTGCGACCCTGACTTCGAACCTGATAGGCACCAGCATAAGGATGCCCAAAGACCAGACTAACTCAAGATTTAATGGGGCTGATAAGTGCAAACTACATTCCTTGTTTTACGGATAAGGATGCCGAAATGTCACGTTAAATCATGATTTAATGGGGCAAATAGGTACCAACTGGCATAAGTCTCGCAGGAGAAGCTGCCAGACAATAAACTCAGGATTTAATTGTCTATCGGTCGAATGCACGGAAAAAGAATTAAAACCAGATTTAATTGTGTCATTGGAGGGTCCAAGGTAGGTCAAAACCCAACCATTAAATCAGGATTTTTTTTAACTTCTGGATTCATTGGTTTTCCCCGAACCAAACCTCGGAATCCAAACTGATAGGAGCTTTCAGAAGCAGAGCCTCAGATGGCCTGGCGTGAGGAACACTTCAGAATGAACCTTCCAAATACAACGCAGACTTCGATGCGAACCGGCCTTGCCACGAGGCCGCCATACTGCCCTGGCACGGGGTCACGGTGGGGCAAGGAAGACTCCAGACTCCAGGTGCTCTCCCCAAGCAGACATCGCCGCGGCTTGAGGTGGAGCTCCCCCCCGAAACCCATCTTTCGAAGATCCAAGCACCACATAGGCTTAAATCGCCTCGGTTATCACTTAATAAAATGTCCTTAAAAGCATCATCTTATCATGCACAGCCCACTTTGTGGGCTGTGCGGAAGAGCTGATCTCTGCTCCGGGGCCTTCTACAAAGGGGCCGCAGCGCTTTCTGCGGGGCCACCACGCGTCGCTTTGGCTTCTCAGCCGGCTGCAGCACAAGCGGCTCGAAGAGGAAACTGTGTGAATTCCCGCTTCAGGGCGTGTTTAGCGCGAGGCCTTGGGGGGTTCAGTTGGAGAAGCTGTCAAGATGGAGGCCAGCAGCGGCCAGCAGCTGTCCGATTTTGCGCTTGCGCTCGACCGAAACGTGTCAGTCTTGCAGACCAACGAGCAACGAACAGCTTCGGACTGCGGAACACGGGCCTTTCCACTGCCTCATTGCTATGGAACTTATGAAGGCAGTCCGATTGAAGATTAATTAGTCTGCTGGTTGTTCTATCCATGCATACAACAGCTTGTTGTTCTGGTATTTCTCGTATTTGTGAGAAGCAGAGAAAGAGGAGCAGGAGGAGGAGGAGTAGT